GAGAGGGTAATGACCACTGGGGGGGAGATTACCACTAAGGGGGTGGGGGGAGGAGGGGAAGGTCTACTAAGGGGTTTGGGAGAGGGAGGACCACTAAGGGAAGGGATGGAGGACCACTAAGGGAGAGAGGGGGAGTGAGAAGACCACCAAGGGGGGACTGCAGAGGGACAGGGGGCCAAGGGAGAGCACTAAGGGACAGAAGGGGTAGAACATGGAGGGACAGGAGGGAAGGGGAAATCAATAATTGACAGGAGGGGAGAGCACTATGAAAATTTTTTAAATAAAATAAAGAGCTGTTCCCCTCTCAGTCCCTATCCTACCCCACAAACCCTCTCTTTTACACTACACACAAACACAATGCATTCCCCCCCCTACACACACACACACACACACACAGAAACATACAATGCATTCCTACTCACACACAGACACACCCGAAACACACAATGCATCCCTTACGTTCACCCAAACACTCATTCTCTTACACACAGAAACAAAATGCATCTCTTACACAATCAATGCACCCCTTACAGACACACACTGCATTCAATTACATACACAGAAACACACCTTGCACCCCTTACACACACAGAAACATACAATGCATTCCTTACGCGCAAACACACACTGCATCCCCTATAAACACACTACATCCCTTATACAAATTGGTATCCCTATACACTACATTCTATAAGAACACACACACATTGCATCCTCTACAATAACACATAAAACATCCCCTACACACATACACTACACTTCCTGTGAGAGAACTCATGGGTGGGCCATGTAGGTATTTATGGGTGGGCATTGTAGGCATACTCATGGTCAAGCCCTGGGGGCCCAGACCTTGAGCTGTGTAAGGGGCCCTAAAAAATGGAGCTGCTTCCTGTTCGTTAATTGTTGTGAGCACTGTTACAAACAGTCTCCAGAGAGCCTCTTCTACACCAGACCTGTGGAGCCAGACAGAGCCCATCATCAGCCTCTTGTCCTCATCTGGTGGTAAGTAGGCAATCCAATATATTATTAGTGGCACTAATCTCTAATTTACCCCACATTAAATGGATACTATAGTCACCAGAATCACTACAGCATAATGTAGTGGTTCTGGTGTCTATAGCCTGTGCCTGTAGGCTTTTTAATGTAAACACACTGTCTTTTCAGATAAAAGACACTTTGTGAAGACTGGCGTTGGCCCATATGGGCGGGGCATTGTGATGTTACATGGTGGGCAGGACATTGGGGGGGGGGGGCGGCAAATTTTTATTTGCCTAGGGCGGCAAAAATCCTTGCACCGGCCCTGATTGCTCTATAACTGATATCGAAAAGGTCTTGCTTCAGTTGCATCTGAAAGTACACAGTTTTACCTCATTTACATTGAATAATAATATTTATTTTATTTTATTTAATAATCTTCTACAGCACCCTTATCCAGTGCACGTTGTGGTATTTTTTGTCTCCATCCCTAGGTCCATATACCGTTTCTGAAGGTAACCTTGCTACACTTTATTTATGTGGATTAAGGTGTGCATACTTTGCACTTTATCTTTATTGCACTTTTGATTGTATACTTATGACATGATATATTTTATCTAATTAAATCAATATTTTTGCATGAAATGGTGTGCTGTAGGTTTCTTCTATTTGTATGTACAATCTTGATATGACAACAAGGTTTCGAGCTCATTCTAGCACCCTGCTTTAAATAGTGCATGTTTATAACACAGGGGATTACCTACTGGAGTTGAGCGCTTACTATATTTCTTATATGTATACACTTTATTTTTACACCATGCTTAAACAATTCGTCCTGCGTTACTGCCCAATATATAGGGCCATTTAGACAAGCGTGTCTGATTTTGTTTCTTTCTTTATAACTTGTGTAAATAATAAAAGAAAATAGTAAATATAACATTTTGATGCAGTCATTGAGTTGCAATATAGTTATGTATAACCTTTTTTAATTGGGTAAATCATGTTAAATGAAAACACATGTACGATAAATGATTGGATATTCAAGGACAACAATGTTACATAGAAATAATTATAAAACCATAAAAGATTCACTGAGCTATAGTATATATTCTCCCCAACAAAACTAATTGGTTACAGTAAGGGGAGGTAAGGAACAGGATTTGAGATGTACCACTAAAAAAAAGTTTGCAACAGAATGAGAGGCATGGCTGACCTGTTGTGAGGTAGGAACATGTTCCATTAGTAAGGGGCCAGGAGTAAGAATAAGGGAAATCGAGGAGCACATGGGAACAGTTTATGGGGTGTGGTAGAAAGGGAGTGGAAAGGATAGGTATGGGTATAACGGGATACCATTAAAGAGTGAAAGGAGGGGGTAATGTAGTGTAGGGTTTTGCATAAAAATAGAATAGAAGAAGGGGCATGTTGAGAAGGATGTGGGCAGCTGCAAAGCATATAGTTTAGTGATGGCCAAGCAGGAGAGACTTACAGTAGCCTAGCCTAGTGAGAATGGGAGTGGAAAATTGGCAAAGAGGCTTAGCAGCAGAGAAGGTGAGGAGAGGATGGAACTTCTGGATATGGAGGAGGTGAAGCGACAGGTGAAAATAACCATGGCAATATGTCTCTGGAAGAGAAGGGAAGAGTCAAAGATAATGCCTAGGTTGCGACCTGTGGGTAAGGTGGAAATATTCAGGATGTGAAAGAGAATAAAAGGTGGAGGGGTGTGTGAAAGAGATGGGAGAGGGAATGACAGTAAGTCTGTTTTGGATGGGTTAATTTACAGAAAGAGTGAGGAGAAATGCAAAAGGAGAAGTCAGGTGTGGAAGAAAGCAAAGAAAGGAAGAAAATCTGGATGTCATCTGCAAATAAATGGAAATTAAAACCATGAGAGGATATGAGATTTGTGGCGTACAGTCAGAAGAGGAGAGGGCCAAGGACTGAGCCTTATGGTACACCAACTGAAAGAGGGGTGACTGGTGTGGATTAAGTAAGACTGTGCAGGTGCTACCAGAAAGATAGTAAGAAAGCCGGTTTGCCTCATATTTTCTTTTTATAGAACACTATAATTGTAGGCATGGAGAGCATTATGGAATTGCATGACCAATAACATCTGTAGAAGTGTAACGTTCAAAATTCCTTTTCTACAGGAAGTAAAAGATTCAGAAGTTTACTATTAGTTTATCAAATCTTTAAAAGACTTCCCATATTCTTGTATGGCTATTTACTGGTCATGTCATTTGTCTTTGTTTCAAGCTTTTGTAAAGTGTCTTCTAAGTAATCAACATCTGGAGAAGAAACAGAAAGAAGCTCAGCAGGTCATTCATCTCCCACCATTGGCAGTCTTAACATTTCCCTCTCTCTGTTGTAGAACGTATAGTGAGTCAAATACAATGCACCTTCATTTTTATTACTTGGAAACAATTATTTTCTTAGAAGGTATGCAGTTAGAACAATTGAGCATAACAGCCAGAGCCACCACTCTTTGAGCGTGGACTCAGGAAGCAGGGTTTGGTGTGGGATCTTCTGCTCACAAAGGACATAAACACTTTTCTCCAAATTAAGTCAAAGGAAGAACTGCTATTCAGTTAACAGAGTAACCCAGGACCTCTGGTAACATAATTTACTAGACAAAGAGTTTAAAGGACCTTGCCTTTTTACCAGATAGGTATGGGGGGCACTAGGTCCAGGGCCGGACTGGGGATACAAAGCAGCCCTGGAAAAAACTCCATGCCAGCCCCATGAGTCATTGCGACATATATTGTTGCATGTAATATGTAAGGCTATGTCTTGCCACCCCAGGAGTAATATATATATATATATATCAAATATATATTGCTTTTTCTAATATAAAATATTGGTCCTTTCAGAGTAAAACATTTAATTATACAGTAAGCATACACACATGCAGACACAGACAATCTCACTGACACACACGAGCTCATTGATTCACAGCCTCATAGACAAACAATCTCACTGATATACATAAGATCATTGACATAAAAACAAAAGCTCACTCACTAGCAGGCACACACATGCAAGCAAGCTCACTCACTAGCAAGCAAGCGTGCGCGCACGCACACACACACCTCTTAATGTAGTGGTTCTAGTGTCTATAGCCTGTCCCTGCAGGCTTTTAAATGTAAACACTGACTTTTCAGAGAAAAAGCAGTGTTTACATTGCTTCCTAGTGACACCTCTAGTGACAGTCACTCAGACGGTCACTAGAAGTGCTTCCTGTGTCAGTGCTGCACAGTGTGCAGCACCTACATTCAGGGCCTACACGCTCTGGAGGCGCTGAACGTTCTCCATAGAGATACATTGATTCAATGCATCTCTATGAGGAGATGCTGATTTGTGTAGCGTTTTGCAGCCAATCCTATGGCAAATCATTGGATTGTCTGAGATCATCAAGCCATAGAGGCAGGGCCAGTCGAGGGGAGACCAGCACGGCATGAGGAAAAGAAAAGGTGAGTAAAAACACTATTTTTAAGAACACACACAGACCCACACATACACCATGACAGACACTACAACAACTTTAATAAGATTAGGTTTTTAGAGTGCTTTCATTGTTCATTTAATCCTAAATCTAGCTCCCAGTAACCCTGATGTTAACAATTAATCCTAAACTCTATCTCCAGTTTCTAAAAACTCAAAAATAAATTAACAATCTAATTTTAATATTCTGTAAACCTACCTCCCATAACCCCAAAAACTTTAACTTCATAACATTAACCTCTAGCACCTTTATATATATATATATATATATATATATATATATATATATATATATAAATAAGAGAATAAGTGAGTAAAAAATGGAAAAGACCCTCACTTTGCATTTTCCCCTCCAGCAAAATTAATCTATAAACACTGATGTTCACACTCGTAGGAATGCGCTAGTGGTGTGCATGATGTGCAGGGGTAGGCAGTCTTTGGCACGCCAGATGATGTGGACTACATGTCACCTGGTGCTTTGCCAGCATTATGGGAGATGTAGTCCTTAACATTTAGAGTGCTGAAAGTTGAATACCCATTGCCCTAACAGATGTCCAAACAGCCCTCGCTTCCCCTCCTATTAGTTCACTACTAGTGCACATTTTGTGTCAGTTTGGGGTAGCTTTTCTAGTTAAAAGAAAACATGTGGCTATGTTTACACAAAGTCCCGCTATTAAAATAAAGTAGTATATGGTGCAGAGTTCTTTCCATTTATATGTTAATATGTCATTGATGAATATAAAGAAGAACCCAGCATGACTATATTACCAAAGTCCATTTACATAGTTTGAAAGTAAGAAAAATAAAACCAGACTGGACTAGTAAAATGTGCTGCAGAAAATCAGCGTTCACATCTGCTATTATTTTTTCATAGCAAATTAATATAAACTTTGTGATAAAGTCTGAAACCTGACAATAAATGAGAACATCGAACAATAAAAAAAATAATATTGTAATATCATTGATAAGATATTAATAGTACTGCTCTAGACAATCAAACACACTCTATTGTACATTATCCCAGCATAGTTGACAACAGTCCTGAATTTGCTGGGACAGTCCCAGGAAAACTAAACATCCTGTCCCTCATTTCAGGGGGGAACTACAGCCAATGTAGCTGCTTCAGGACCCATGGGAAAATGGAGAGAAACATGTGTTATC